TTTTTTTACTTTCCTGTGGACAATTTATACTGAGAACCTGCCATTCTGCTGCGGAGTTTAGAAAACTTTGCATGATGGAGGAACCTTATTGTTTTTCTGGTTGCCAAAATGGTTACGTTAACTATGAATGATTTAAATGAGTAGTTTGCTTTGATTCACAAAAGAGAAAGTGGACATGCTTGGGACAGCAAGAGTTGATGATATTACTGCTAACTTCCTTAGCTGGTCTGATGGCTATATTCTTAAAAAACAGAAGTTGAGGTGTGAAGGTACGAAGCTTCACAATATTTGTACTTCATCTTTCAAATAATTCAGGGAAAAAACAGTGAACCCATTTCCGAAGTTCATAGTTTGTAAGATATGTGTAATTCTCCCACACGTATAAGGTCTATTTTACTACGTGACATAATGCCTGCACCAAGAACCGGTTGACGATGTATTCCATGTTTGCCAAAAGTCTCCAAAGTTCTGTGAGACTGGTCAGGTGAGAATAGTAGAAAGTAGTGATTTTCTCCACTTTCCAAGCCCAAATTTTCAGCCCCAAAACCATCAATGTGAAGTGAAGAATCCACAGACAAACTTAGGGGGAAAAGTACAGAAGAAGAGGAGAGAGCGGGGAAGCAAGAACAGGAGACGGTGGAAGCAACCTGCAGGGTCTTCTCCCTCCGTTTCTCAGCTCGTCACCCTGTCTGTGTCAAACACTCCCTGCCACCTTGACACATATTGCCTCCTCAGTTCTAGACTCTGTGCCCGTGGCATTTTCAATGGGGATCTCTGCTTGTACTTTTATTGTGAATTATTGAAAACATAAGGCTTTGCAACTAAAATATGCGTGTGTAGGAAACATGCCAGTTCCTATCAGGAAAGCTAGTGGAACAACGTGTGGCTGTGGGATGATCAGAGCTCGGGTGGGCTCTGAGCCCAGCGCTGGCACTTCCTACCGAGAAAGCTTGGGGCAAGTGACTCAGCCCCTCTGGGCCTCCGACTCCTCACCTATGGAATGGGGGCGATAGAACCTGCTTTAAAAGGGCTGTTTCAAGGGATAATTGGGATGATGATATCTGTAACACGTTACTGTATCTGCACAAGGATACGCTTGAGAAATGTGGTCCCTGATCTCCACCGCCTCCCTTCCCTTTTCATTGCCCCCTCCTTTGCCTTCCCGCCCCTTCTGCACACCACGGAAACAGCAGCAGCTTGGTGTGGGAGAACGACACCCGTGCTGACACTTGCTGTTCCCTTGCAGATCCACTGTCTGCATTCTACATGCTGCTTCAAAGTCTCTTCACCTAATCTGTCTCCTGGGCCCACTGCCACGGACTCTTGGAGAGTTCTGGATACTTCCATGGCCCTCTGTCAGCCTCCCTCGCTGTTGCCTCATCTTCTGCCCTCTCCAGCTGTCTCGTCCGTGAAACAGGCACTGGATTCTAGAACCACTCGTGTTGCATTGTGGGTCCCAGCAGGAGTCCGGACCAGAGACTACACTGGACCCACAGAGGCTTTCTCTCCCCTTACTGCTTCCATGTAATAGAACAAGGACTCTGGCTTCCTCAGGAACTGCCTGTGGGGTCAGGTGATACTACTTCCAGTGAGCAAACTTTGACCACAGAAGGCAGAAAATAGGATGGCACGGGTGCATGCATGCTTCTGTCCTTTTCACTTCAATAGGTAGGCTGAGCAGCCTTCCCAGAGATATTTGTGGGACTGACAGACGAGTGATGCTCAAACAGCATCCTGCTCAGTCATGCATCACCTTGTTATTGGTTGTGGTACTTTCCCATCCTTCCTGTCTCACTTCACTTCTCACAGCTGCCTCTCAAGGATTGTGCCTCCCAGTAATGTTAGCCCTTAAGCCTCGCTCAGTCGCAAGTGTTCAAGGGAACCTGAGCTACCTACCTGTGAATGGCACTGATCAGGCTCTCCAGCCACCTGTCTTCTGGATAAGGTTAGCAAAACAGAAGGACCCAATGGGACAGTGAAGAGAAGGGGAGAGCATCGGCCCAGGTAGCCTCTGCCTCCCCAGTTCAGAGGGCATCCCAGGTAGCAGCTGAGGTTTCTCCGAGTCCTTCTGGCCCAGGGGGAGGGATTATTCTTGCTGTTGCTCATCTGTGAGTTAGTTGCCTCAGAGTCCCTCCTACTTTTATAACTCCTTCTTATATTAAATTCCCTCTATCAAACCACCTGGCATGGGATCTATTTTTTTTCTTACTGAACCCAAATATAACTTAATATAAGACAATGCAACATTTGATTTTATTTACCTGTGTTTGTGGTATAGCTAAAATCAGCTTCTGTTTCTATAAGATATTTTATTTATATGTCTAAAGATAACATAAGTAAACTGAAATTTTAACTGCTTCAAAGAGAATTACAAGCCCTGGCTGGTGTGGCTCAGTGGATTGAGTGAACTAAGGCAATTACCTTAAGAAAGTTCTATGGGCTATCATAAAAGAAATCAAATGACCATTTTAGCACTTTGAATGGCATTTGCTATTTAAAATAAATACTCCTTTCCTAAAGGCTGTGTTTCCCAGTTAATACAAGTTCAAGTCTTTCAATCACCTTATAAGTTGCCTGTCTCCCATCTTTGCAGTGGTTACCAAGAGACCTGAGTGTGTGCATTTGGGGCCTAGTAGGTGGCTAATTGGTGGTGTGAGAAAGAATATAAGTGCCATTATTCAGAAAATGAGATTCATCTCCACTCCAGGTGCTACTTTCCTCCTGCAGGGTACACAATATTTCTAAAATTGGCCCCCGGAACATTTGCATTTAGAGAGAATGCTCTGTAACAGCTGAGCAATGATTTGTGGAATCTCCCTGAATAACACTGCATGGGCGTAATGCAAACGTGATGCCAGAAATAATACTTCGGTGTCAAGGCGCAGCTGTAGGCAGCTAGCCTCTCCTCCGAATCCTCACCTGAGCCAGGAAAGGCCTCTCTCTGCTCAGGAACCCACACTGGGTAGGAGCCGCCACTCATGGCCTGCCAGCAACCAGTGGCACAGGAGGGAATCGTGAGAGGGAGCTGGAGCGCTGTGAATCTTTAGGACAATTTGTTTTCCCTCGCCAGGGTCCCTGCCCCCACTTATACTCTGAAAAACTGAACTTTGTAGTTCCATAAACTGTGTCCCAGCAGTTGTCTGTGAGACAGACTCTGTGCCACCACCCACGCTGGAAGCAGGGGCCTGAGCTGAACATGTGACGTGTGACTTCTGGGTCACAGAAGTCCATGAACTCAGGGCTTCTGTACTGTCTTCATCATGTGACTTTAGGGCTCCGATGTCCTGTTTTCTCCACCATCCAGAAAAGCTGATGAATGCAGAATCCAGTTCTCCAGTATCTCATGGCAGCAGTCAGTGGAATGCGGGGCCTCTGGATTTCAGAGGATATGTTCCTACATACGCCACAGGATGGTCTTGCGTGGAAGAATTTCATGAGGAAAAGAATTGAAAATGCATTGGGGAGAAGCAGTGCTGACATTCCGCTCGCGCACGGTGGTTTGGCTGGAGCCGTGTGCTCACATAACGGAAACACTCAGGCTCCCAGTGGAAACTAATGGTATCTTTAAGCCTCCTGAATACCCCACACTGTGCGAGCTTTTTAGGGCCCCTTGCTTAAATCTCCCCCAAATCTAACACTTTAAGGATTAACTATAAACATGGCAGGTGGCCGCCAGCACCCTGTCACAGCACTAGAATGGAGCGGATTCTGGTTGGTGAGTTGTCATGACAATTATTAAATATTTTTAACATCACTTCTGCAGAGAAGGTGCAAGCTACTTATAGGGTGAATTGTCTCAGCAGTTTGCTTCATCTCAAACTGGCTGGTATCCTTGAGAGGTTGAGTCCATCAGCACAACCTCTCTCGGCTGCTGTAAGATGTTGCAGGTGGCACATCATCCACCTTCTGTGACCGGCAGTGATAAAGCTTTTCCAGGTTCCATACCGACACTTCTGAGCGTGACTAGATTTTTGCCCTAAGACACTTAAGTGCCCTTCACCCCTGCATCGGTAGTCCCACAGCTCCCCAGGTAGCACAGCATCATGGCCATGGCCGCACAGTGACAGGGTCAGAGCCGCACACAGAATCTACTGCAGATCCAGCTATGCTGGCTGACATTTATGTGACAGTCTTGTCTGCTCCCAGAGATGAATCCCAGAAAATTAGACATGGAAAGACCCATTAGGCCATTTAATCTATACTCCTGCCAGCTCACAGTCAGTCCCCTCCACTCCATTTCCTAGTGCATCATCCAGTTTGGTTCAAGTGGCAGTGTTTACAGAGAGAGCTGTTTCTTTGTCTCCTTCACCGAGAATTCTTTCTAGCATGTCCAGCTAAATGCTCGCTCTTTGATGTTTATTTACCCTAATTTTATGTATACAGTAATATCATGGTTGCCCATATGCCCCAAGCTATATATATAAAAAAATAAAAAATAAAAAACACTTGAGAATAATTAGAAAGTGAGGAATCTCTCTTGACTAGCAAATACCAGTTTCAGGAAAAATCAAAGAACTTGGTGGAGAACCGATAAGCTGTGCTTCTGTGTTACCTCATTTCAACTCCTTTTATTTTAGTTAAATGCTTATTTAGCATTGTTCAGCTTCTGCTTTCTTCAACAGCAGCTAGAACTATGACTAAGCGGTACCATGGGTTTGGGTTTCCAGGTTTACTTCTGTTTCAATTTTTAAATCGGATTATTCATCCCCTTGCTTTCTATATCATATTTAAAATCCTGCCTCATCGTCATGATTTAATTAAAGATTATTCTAAGGATTCAAATGGTTTCCTTATTCTGTATGCTAATCTTCTTTTTTGTTTGTTTGTTTGTTTGTTTGTTTGTTTCCAATTTTAGCTAACCACAAGCATAACAAGAGTAAGCCTGGTCCTTTCTTTCTGGACAACCTTGCCTAAGAAAAATGTCTGTGCTTCTTTATTTCTGTCCGGGCAGAAGTCTTCCTCATGAACCCCATCCAAGAAGGCATCTGTGGCCGGCTCACCTTAATCTGGCCCTTCAAGCAAGGCTCACTGCACACAGACCGCACCATCCCGCTCTTGTTCATCTGGATTTTGTAGTCGTCGATGTTCAACACCCCTTCATGCCAGGTGCCCACGTGCACATAGTCATAGCGGTTAGCGTCAGTGTACTGAAGATTCATGATGTCATACCTGCAGAGAAAACAGCATGTGTGTCGTGGAGAATAGGGACACAATGCAGACAACAAAGACATTGGGCAAATATAGAATAGAGAGAAGGGAGATAAAAGCTAGAATTATCCCATGTGCTAATACCAGCTATTTTAGTTTATTTGTAATGTTTCCTCTGATTTTCCAAAATGTGTATTCCAGTCTTAGATTCTGTGTATCATCCATACTTGCTGAAGAATATAGTATTATATTCTTTATGCTTCCTCTATGCTTTCTCTATGCTTATTCCCCCCCCCAAAAAAATTCCATGTGTCTCTGTGTGCTGAATAGATCATCTCCTTCAAATTATTGTTCACTAAGTTTTTGTTCAAACAAGTAATAAGTCTTGAGCATATTAATTTCTTAACTTGATTCTTTTTATTCCAATTTTCTTTTTTTTTACATTCAGTTGCCATTTTCATTACACTGGATTGATAGAGGTGAATTTTCTCAAGTTCAGAGCCTATTCTAAATGTTATTAAAGCAAGAAATCTGAGAAATGCATCTTTAATTAACAAGGATGTTGGGGATTTGATATCTTGACATTTAAGCCGGTCTCTTCCCTGGTTAGGGCAAACATTTCGGTAACTTCCAATGCTGCGATGCTATGCACAGACAAATACATGCAGACTTCTACATGCAGAAATCTTTGCTGCAGCCAGAGTGTGTTCCGGGGGCCAGCCCTCACCATTCACCCACCCACTGTGGGCAGTGAAGAGCATTCCCCAGTGCAATGGAAACCAGGCGGGACTTGGCACTGAGATGTGTAAGCTGGAACCTCTTTTCTTTCTTTTCTACAGTAGGTTAAACTACTGAGGAATGCCACTACACTCCTCACGGATCATGGGCTTCTTGTGGGCATTTATGAACATAGGGTATGTAAAAACTATTTCACAACTGGGGCAAAGGCCTATTTGGAAAGCAGTGTCAACATATCATTTCATATGTGTATTTTCTATGAATGCCCTGAAATACTCTGGTTATTTCCATTATTATAAGAAACCTGGAGAACATCTTTGAATTGGCATAGGCATTTATCTCTCAGTCATTGAAAATTCTTGGGCACCCCTCAATCTTCTCTGCATGTTGCTATTTACTCCAAGTAAATTGTCACTCCTGTGGCAGTTTCCCGGAAACGAAGGCCCGGCTCTCCCTGGACCCTAGGAAACGGGACTGTTTTGGCGGCGCTTGCACAGGGTGGCGCCCTGAAAACAGGGCGTTTTCACCCTGCTGAGCTAGGATATCAGAGGCATTGTCTCTGGCTCTTTGCCCTGGACCCAAAGAAATAGATGGCAATTAACCAACGCTTGTTTCTCTTCTTTAGCTATCTGGCTCCTCCCCCCAGTTCTCCTACCTCATTCATCCTAAAATTCTTTCTAACCTGATTCAGACTCAGACTCCTCCTCAGCCCTACACTCCAGGAAGCTACTACCAATCAACCTTAGCTGGTATCTGAAACCTTTGGCTATGTCTGGCCTACTTCCTGCTCTTAATGTGCAAAGGCATTTTGCCACCCACAGGATAGCTAGTGGTTTCTTCACATCCTGATTCTGGCAACTTCCATAAATAGCAGCCTCCTAAATGCAAAGGGGAGGCTTTTCGAGAATGAAGGATGCTTTTTTCCCTACTTTTCCAGGTGAACAAAACTTACGTAGAGTTACATCTCTTGCCTGTTCTGACTTTTGGCTACCAGTGGGTTCTTATTCTTCTGGTTGCTAAGACAGACCAGGATGTTCTTGAGAGTGGCTGGCTAAGTGATATCCACGCGGCTATTAACTGTGGGCGGACGGTTCACACTCATCCTACAGATCAGTGATACTAATCTGCACCTCCAATAGTTTTCCACTTGAAACTCATGGTTACAGCACCTGCTGTGAATGTGCACTATGAATATTTTCCTTTTTCATTTCCCTTCATTTTTATGTTTTTCTCATTATTACATCATTAAATCTCCTTACATAGTTTCAGTGAAGGCTTGAATGTGATGCCAGCTTTAGAGAACCTTTTTCCTGTCAATTAGTTTTCCAAGACTTTTATTTCAACTTCCTCATTTGCCCTTCAAAAAAGAGAAACCAGTTCACACTTCATTAGCATGTAGAAACTGAAAAAACTCACAATATTTAGGTACAGAAACACATTCGGAAAAAGTCCCCAAAGCCATAGGAAGGAAATACTGAAGATCACCAAGGGGAAAGTGCCGACTTACTGCAGAGGGGTTTACTGCAGATTGGCTGTGTGAGCAGCGGACCTGGGACCCAGCTCTTCTCTGCTGGCCTGAGCTCCTTCTCTGCACGTTGGCACTGACTTGGAGTATCCTCGTGCTGTAAACTACACCTTTACAGCATCCTTGCAGTCATCCAGTTGATACTCCAGGATGACTGACTAAAATAATGACAAGAGGATCCGAGAAGCTTGGATGGTATAATGACGGGAGGTGGAGGCAGAGGGAGGTGGTTGAAACAGAAACTGATCACAGATGACGATGATCAATTGCAACCATGAGGAAATGATCCTCGAGAAGAGACCCAGGGTAAGGCTCGTGATTTCAATATGTAATTAAAGATGGAGAAGAGGCAAGCTAAAATTGTGTGCCAATGTTTTGGATAACTTACCTATTGAGTACCTAAAATGCATCTGGCCCCATGCCAGGCACATTGTGTTATGTTATCGTGTTGAATCTCGGAGGGAGGTTTCCATTCCAAATGCGAACTTTTACAGAGCGTGGTTCCCAGTGGAACCCAGCATTACAACCATGGGTTTAAAAAGGAGAGTGGTGGTCTGAATCTCGGACCCGCTGCTTCCTTCTGGTGTCGCCTCCCAAGGGCCTCCGCGCCTGCAGGCTCTCCACGTGCCCAGGCCCTCAATCACTCCATCCATCTCAGTCACACTGTCCCCTAAACCTGCTCCCACCCAATGGAAGCCTGGAAGGAATCTAATAAATGCATTGTTTAATTGCTGACAATTGCTCATAAAATTGATCTTCTTAGAGCTGTTGGATTTCAACAGGGAGAATCCACTTGGGCCCCACTCTCTAGATGTAGAACTTAAAGCTTACATGAAAAGACGAGAGATGTAGAGAATTATTTAGGGTCTCTTACAGTAGTCTCTCCCAAATAGTCTCTTACAGTTCCTTTGAAATGACATTAAGAACACTGCCAGCAGCCTCGCCTAATTTTAGGAAGAGCTAAAAGGCAGAGTGATGTGGCAAAAAGACTACAAGCCTCTGATTCAGGCGGCACTGCCTCCATCAGCTACTCTTGGAGTGATTTTAGGGAAGTTTCTTGGTTTCTCTGACACTGAGTGTTATCCGCTGTACAAAACAGAAATGCTTTGCTTATAGCAGTGAGGATTAAATGACTTGATGTTCCATTCTAACACAGCATATGCTTTCCCAAAATCTCTGCAAAATCCTTTCCTGAAAGACAGTGCTTATGAGCAAAAGACAAGATTGTGGGCACACTGTGCAGCAGCTGAGCTGAGAGCCTTTTTCCTTCCTGCTGCAAGTTTGAATCCCTATTTAACTCTTTTGAGTACGCCTGGTCTCAGAAAATTCGTATAAACACAGACAACGGCTCTTCATGCTGACATCATTCTCCACATACCAATGAAACATGAGCTAACTGGTGTGACAAAAGCAAGTGTCACAGAGCAGACTAAACATAAAATGACTTAGGAAAATACGTATATATTAAATAGATGTTATTTTCCTCTGCTTCTGGATTAATTCTTTGGAAGCCATAGCAACTCAATACCAGAAAGGAAATTCTTTCCTTTCTTGTTCCAGGCAGAACACAAGTTAGCCTGAGAATGAAGGATACCTGCATATGACTTGATTCTCTTCACATATTAGGCTCTGTAAGCAGGGGTCATATTAAACTATTTTACAGCCAGTATGGCCTTGTAGGAACCAATCAGAAAGCAGCTCTGGCCTGGCCCTTGTAGGGCCAGGGAGGGCTCTACTGGTTAGGTGTAATCCCTTGAGTTCCCTGGCTGGCAGGGTGGTCAGTCCCAGGTTTTCTGTGGAAAGGCATGGAGTGAGAGCTGGGTAGGGGTGTAGTGCTGGCAGGACGCAGGACTGTGTGTGTTTGCAGTAAGCTTTGTCATGTTTTAAAATGAATTTCCATCTAATATGAGCCCTGTCTGTTCAGCTTTCTAGTTGTATCCATGCTCATGACACCCAGAAACCAAGGAACTGAAGGGAGCCAGAGTCACCTCCCTGTCTAGCTCAGGGAGGCTCACAGGCTATTCAGATCCATTATGGCAAAGGGCTTTACCTTCCAGGAGCGTCCCCTTTCTCATCAAACCACACCTCCTCTCCAGACACACCGATGAACGTGGACTTGATGAGGAAGTCCAGGAGCTTGCTGCCGTCGATGGGCTTCATGGCATCGCAGAGGCCCACGTGGCCAGGGCAGAGCGCATGGTGCATGTTCTGTAGCCCGTGGGCCATGGCATAGATGGCATTGATGACAAAGCCCATCTTGCTGTCCTGGACGTAGTTTTCTTCTAAGCTTTCATTGCCTGTAACATAAACACAGACCGCTGCCCAGGTTGCAGTAGTGGAGCCCGGGCCTGCGTGTGTGATACCCGAAAGCTTTTCAAGGCAGGAAAGTGAAGCCCACCTATTCAAGCCTTGTGACTAGCTCTAGTACATTCTGCATGCAAATAGTTCATTCAGCTTTATTTTCTAAATTCAATAATGGTTTTATAACACATAAAACAGATTCCATAGAGTTGAAACCCACACTTTACTTTTCAAATATTGCAAGGAAATCCTTAAGGGACAGTGGGAATAACTCTTATTACCTCTCAGCTCACAGAGACTTACATTAAAATTCTCCCTTTATTGCAGTACTGGAAACATATTTTTGATATCCACCATAAAAATCTGCAATCCATAGTAAATCAAGTTGTGCATTACTTAAACCTTGATATTTTCTTTGGGTGATATACAGGGCTACAAATACCCAGAGTAAGAAGAAAAGCTAGGTAGTATGAATTTCTTCTTATATGTGACTGGCAGTACAAAAATATTAGAATCAGATTTACTCATTGTTAGAAACTCAGGTAAAATGTTTCTTGATGGAAGAGCCATACAATACGTATTAGCCTTTAGCTTTTGCCAGTGAATCTGAAAAACAATGCAATAATTTCTACCTATGTCACAGGTAATCAAGGTTCTTGTAATTCTGTAACATAACAATAAGCATGCAATCATAAGCATGTAATTTTGTAACATAACAATATTTGACTCAAGCATGCCATGTGACATTTTAGGTAAAATGTTCAAATTAAAACTATACTTTCTTCCTCCAATACTATTACCCTACCAAGCACACTCAAGCAGGCGTCGCTTCTGCCAGACCCAGTACATGAGCTTCACAACAGAAGCTCAACTTCAACACTTAACATATGGATGAGAAGCTCCGGAACCAGTTGGGTTTGCTGAAATAAGAGTAACAGGTTGGGAAAACAAAATAGATTTGGATGGAACACACCACTGGCATAACTCAGAGATTTTGTGCTTAGTTCCAGAAATTTGCTTCTCTCTGCAGAAGGTTTTCCCTCCCCTACTCAGCTGATGGTGAGGAGGGGTCTGTGCAATGTGTGGTCCACGCGCTCGACGTTGGGAAAGACAGCGAGTTCACCTACATGTGGGGTTGAGAGCACCGGGGGGCTCCTGGCACCCTGGCCTGCTGACCTCTCTCTTCCGGGCTGAACAGATCACTGGACACTGTGGTTCCTGGACTGGAGAGTAGCATGAAGTATAAAGGGAGTTAGAGAGCTTGGAGTGTTTGGGGGAAATGGTAAGGAGTTTTGACTTGGTTGTTGAGCTTGAAATGAAATACAGCATGTCTAAAGAATTCTATTTAAAGGCTAATCTATTTAGATATAGTTCAAAAAGTGAAAAAGATCCATGTTATCCTATCCAAGGGTGATGTACCCAAAACACCCAGGCCAGGTTAAAAGGGGGAACAATTTCAATTTTAACCCATCTTCAGACATTGCTTAATAAGAAATTGTTAAAAGTGTGATTTGCTAAAGTATTATTTTTCCAGTTGGAAAAGGATGTTTTCTGAGACAAAATAAGGAGTAAGAGAGACAGAAAGGACATTTTTAAATCAAACCATGCAAAATAAATATAGAAAGTTCTGTGAAACAGAAAGCAAACATTCTTCTGGTAAAAATTGTATGAAGTCATTGAAATGGGGTAACTTAAGCCTGTCACCCGGACCCTGGCTCTCAGTGTTACTGTGTTCGCCCTCTCTTTCACCCTAGGCTATAAAGGAGATAAACTGATGCCCTGTGGTTGGCACATTTTCAACAAGCCGTGAAAGATAGACCAAAATCTCCAAGTGCTAGAACTAAGTGTCAAAGCTGGTAGAATTAGAAAAATTAGCAGGACTTAAAGAAAGAAAGGGAAAATACAGACAAAGTGGAGTGGCAAAACAACTCAAGACAGCAGCCACTTAAAGGGTTCCGGTCAATACGAAAACCATCCCCTTTGAGCTGCAGCTGCTAATGTCAGTCCAGGAGCAAGCTGTAAGAAAATATGAGAATAAACACATGGAGTTTTTTACCGAATGGAAAATTTTCTATTTTGGACAAGCCTATGGACACTGTGCTTGTTTTTGTTTCTGCTTTGATAACTGCTATTAAATTATTATATATTTAAAAAATTATATTGGTGTCCCCAGTACAACTTTCCTAAGCTGTGGCTGTCTACTGGAGGTGTTATTCAGCAGCACTGAGACTGTAAGAGTTCTTGGCTTTCTCTGAAGTCGGTTTTCCTTTTGATCCTTATTTAGGATGCTTACATAACTTGTTATCCAAACCGAGTCACTTTTGAAAGTGAAGTAAGTGATAACTGTGTTCTGGAAACACAGAGGTACACACGGCAAATGAGCCACAAGGTGACGTGTTTCTTGAGCCATGCCGCCCTCTAAATGTATCCATTTGCTGATGTTATTATGGGTGAGGTTTATGTCTAACTGTGTTATATATATAAAATAATGAATACTAACATCTAGAAAATGTAAATATGTACACATAAGTGTATACATATGCACATACATGCATATGGATATAATAATCAGTAGAGTATTACTAATTTTAACAAATGTACACTTATCTAATTTTAGTGAGAAATGAACACATCCATAATGCTACTAGCTACTATTCTGTGTGTTTGTTAGATCCAATACTCACATGATGAGTTCATGATAATCCTGCCAGAGTCATTTATCTCACCATTTACACGTGCAGGGCGGGTGATGGCATGCAGATGCCCCCTTGGCCCTTGGTGCTTCTGTGACTCTGAGCAGCAATGCAAATGCAGATATAGAAATCTACAGAGGCGGTGCTTTCCTGGTGACAGAGGACAAGGCATCCTGCTGTCGCCAGTATGGCCGTCAAGCTGGTTTGAGATTTGTCCCTGGGATTGTGCCAGATGTGCACAGCTGTCTCTCTGACGAGAAGCGCTGGTGTCCAATTTATCAACAAAATCAGCTATGACAAAGAAACTCATCCTGTACGTATATATCATACAGACAGCCAGGAGGCCAGGCACATGTTTTCAGGACATATTTGTAACTCAACGCCATTTCCAAAATAAACACAGAGACCTTGCATGTTTGTCCGTCTGACATGAGCCCATGAACTTCCCTACCTGGCCAGCCAGCTGGGTCTGCAGGTGAGGAGGATGCTGCCCCAGTTCAGTAGAAAACTAACATTTGGGAAGGAGTGACAGCAAGTTAGAAAATCACCTGGCCTTCACAGGAACACTCTGTTTGCCAGAGCAACTGTCAACAGGTAACGTTGCCAGGATCTATCATCACACCAACAGAACATGTTACCGGTTTTCCTATTCCCCAAAGACCCTATATTTTCATGATTAGTGAATAGAATATCCAAACTAATAATACTGTCACTTGGTAAGAAGGTGAAAACATTTCAATTCCCTGGGTTTAGTGCCTTTTCATAACACTAATCTCAGTGTTATTAGGGAAAAGGGGATTTTATGATTCATTTTCTGTGGTGCATGAACTGTTGTAGACCACGAGGGTATCATTAAAACATTACCTTTTGTAATACACTAAATGGAATCAAATAATTGGAGTCGCCTGTGTTTATTTACCTTCAAAAGAATACCTGCCTAACAACTCCGTAGTGGATTGTGGAAATAGCTACCCTGATTCTAAAACAGTAATCTCGTTCCTTTTGTGAACGCAGACAAGGGCTATAAATTGCTGCCTGGAAGCGGTAGCAGGCAGGGCCTCCGCTGGGGGAGGGGTTGGCTGTGTACCTTGTGAAAACAGGACATCTTTGGTGGCTGGGGAAAGGGTCAGCAATTCTATCCGCTAACGTTGAGGGTGGCTGTTCTGCAGAGCCGTGGAGAAGAAAGACTCGGGACTAGGCATGTGAACCACTGGGGCCCAGAGGTGGTGGTTCTGCTATAATATGTCAACAACGCATTTCCAAAGGACCATGGAACTTGGGCCAGGGTCTATGCCTCCCTGGGTCTCAGTTTCCAAATTTAAAAAGTACCACAAATGGGTCAGATTATCTTCCTGAAGTTCTCTTTCCCCTCTAAAGTTTTTATAGGTTGCTTCTCCAATTCAACATCTATTGGTACTTAACAAGCCCATTCACATATATTATCCTTTTTAATCCTTGTACGATTGTGTAAGGATAGGTTCCACTGTCACACAAATGAGAGGAGACTGCAGTGCAGAGAAGTTAAGTCAGGATTAAGGAGATACGCCTTCCTTTGCCTTCAATTCATGTTGTTTGTTTGTTTTGTTGTGAAGGACTTCTACTGAGTAACATCTTAGGCCTCTTATCTCACCTAATGAGAAGAGAAGAGGATTCATCTTATCGGCATATTGAGAAAAAGAAACTGGGCGTGCTCAGCGCAGCCCCCGTCTCTCTGATCTGCAGCCAGCCACTTGGCAGTACGCAAAGGTTCTGGGCGGTTCTCTGGCACTTGGTAAATGTGGGCTGCAGTTATCCAGCTGTGCCAGTCGGCTGCACAGGTTCATCTGTCCAGTTCTGGGGTCCGGTGTTCACAAGTCTGTTGTGGCCACATAGCAATCCATGTCCATAAGCCAGTTTGGGTTTTTTTGTTTGTTTGTTTTTCATTTTTTGGTTAACCTTTAAAATCACACGTGATAAAGTGAAGCAATCTTTACTGTAGAAATCAACAACTATTTACACACCCATGTAACTGCTGCCCAGATCGTGACACAGAGCATTTACAGAGGCTCGCATTTACTCAGGACTTCCTCAGCTCATCCCAGCAATGCTTCGGAAGGGTTCCATGTGAGGATCTTAGTGTGTGATTTTATGGTACTGCTACAATGAGCGTCTTTCAGTTCTTTTAAATTATTTGTTGCCAGTATGTAGAAACACTATGGATATTTGTATTTTGGACTTGTACCCAATTTTTCTTATTAATCTATGTTTAGTATAAATTGTTTTGTTTTCTACGTACACAATCACATTGTTAATAAAGCATTTTA